TTTTAAGATTTTATTTATTTATTTGAGAGAGAGAGAGCACGGGGAGAGGGACAATCAGACTCTGTGCTGAGCACAGAGCCTGACGCAGGGCTCCATCCCATGACCCTGGGATCATGACCTGAGCCGAAGTCAAGAGTTGGAGGATTAAAACCAACTGAGTCACCCAGGTGCCAGATCTTGTTTAGAAACAAGAAATGTTTCTAAAGATCTTTATTGTTTGGAAAATCTACTTTATTTTAGTGTTGCATGAAGCACGTTGGGTTGAAGCCATGCAGGACTATTTAAAGAACATGTAAGCTAATATGTTGCTTTTCCTAGGAAGGATTCAACACTATTCTTGATGATCTCTGTGTAATACCACTTTGTGGAAAATCCCATATTGCCTTGTCTGATTCCAGGTCCCTCATGAAAGAATTGCAATTTTAATTTTTGGCCTTTTAAAAGGTAGTTTTAAAGGTAAATATAATGTATACTTTATGATTAGAAATTATTATTATAAGAATGCAAGTAGAAGACAACACTGGCTTATATTACTATTAAAATATTATATCCATTGTAAAGAAATCTGAAAATGATGGAAAACTTTAAAAAGTATGTGTTACCCATAGTCCCACAATTTAGAAATAACCCCTGCTAGTGTTTTGCATATTTCCTTCTGATGTGTTTCAAGTTTTTATAATACTTTAAATAAAATTAGTGTCAATGTTTTGCAATGTATTTTAAAATAAATAATATATCATAAACATGTGCATATCATTAACTGATCTTGTAACACTATTGAGTGGTTATCTAGATTCTTTATTTCTCTTTGAGTGTCAGAGCTTTTTTAATTACTAACGTAATGCATGTAATTTTAAAGACCTAGATAACCAAAAGAAAAAATACTGATGGCCTCCAATCCTACCCTTGCAGAGATAAGTAGTAATAATATTATGACATACATGCATGGCAGTGTCTGAATTTCTGTCGTCCACTGTTCAGGCATTTTTAACCTTTGTAATTCCAGCACTCATTTCAGTACTTAAAGCATAGTGGTTTCTTGATACACTTTTAGTCAGTGAATGAAGAGAGGGAGAAATGGATAAACACGTATGTGAATGCGGAAGCTGCAAAGATCCAGCTTGTGGTAGAATAAAATTCATTTCAGACTCAGCAACTTCCTGTGGTTGGAGAGACAAGGTAGCTAACCAAAGGCTCTTAATGAATAGGAGTCTGCTCTTTCTGTTCATCTGAATCAGCCTCTAGGCAGAGAATTCAATTTAATTTTTCTCCCATCAGTCAAACAGAAGAGCTGAAAAAGCAAAACCAGAGACAAGGGAGGCAGTAGGTGGAACAGACTTGGATGAGGAGATCAGCAGCTGATCTCTTGTTCTTTCTGTTAGGAAGAACATGAGAGGAGAGGAGCAGTGCTTTTCCCAAGGGTGAGTCCTAGCAGGAACTGTGGTGGAGGCATTCTGCCACTACTAGATGCTCCAGTGTGAAAGGACTGATGATTTCTCTGGAGTATTGGGACTCCAGCAGTGTCATTGTGACCCTCCTGGTTCTTCCCCAGCTTTTGTCTAGAGTTTGCAGCAGAGAAAGATGCAATCATGCTGGGTTTTATTTGAAGGGATTTGGGGCTCTGCTTTTATATTGGTATCTGGGCTGACAGAGAGTCTGGTATCTTTGCGTTATGGAAGGCTCCAACCAAAGTCTCTTCTCTATTTAATTGGCAAACGTGTCTTCAGTCTGAGCATCTGTCTCTCAGACACCTGCCATGGGAAGGAGAGTCACCCATTTCTTAAAACTCTGCATGGAAATCTCAGTTCTTGCAAAAAAAATTATAAGGATATATTCTTTCCAGTGCAATGATCTGGTCCTTACCAATTCTCTTCTTCCTCTCAAAACCCTCCCCAATATAAATATACATACAGATAAATATAAAATCAGCCACAAATAGTTGGGTGTATGGAAGGAGAGACAGACAGGAAAATGGACAGGCACCCTCCACTTCCTTTTAGCCAGTGACAGTCATCACATTTCTCCTTCCTTTTAAAAGCCTCCCCATAAGTCAAGTGCAATTAACCATATCGATACTTTTGTTCTTATTGTTTTCTTCACCCTATAAGATCTCTACCCACCTTCTCTCCTGTCCATACCACCTATCTCCAAAGGCCTAGCTCAAGCTGTGTTGCTCCAGGAAGGCTCATTGTTCCACATCTATTCCTGTTGATCTTGTCTGTTTCTCAACTTCTAGAGCTCTAGCCTTTGGCCCATTTTCCCCTTTGGTGTCATGTATGTATATCTGACAGTCATCTGTGTTTAAGTTGAGAGATGGACAATATTAACAGGGGTATATATATTCAACACACACATGTACACATCTCTTTGCTATTTACTGGACAAAAAAGATTTTTTTAAAGGTTTTATTTATTCATTTGACAGAGAAGAGAGAGATCACAAGTAGGCATCGAGGTAGACAGAGAGAGTGGGGGCAGCAGGCTCCCTGCTGAGCAGAGAGCCCAATGTGGGGCTCAATCCCAGGACCTCGAGATCATGACCTGGGCTGAAGGCAGAGGCTTAACCCACTGAACCAACCAGGAGCCCCAAAAGAGATGTTTTTATGTAGTTCATGATGCCAATGTCTAACATATATTTGAATTAAATTGAAATGAGCTGGGCACCTGGGTGGCTCAGTGGGTTAAGCCTCTGCCTTCAGCTCAGGTCGTGATCTCAGGGTCCTGGGATCAAGTCCCACGTCGGGCTCTCTCCTTGGCAGGGAGCCTGCTTCCTCCTCTCTCTCTCTCTGCCTGCCTCTCTGCCTACTTGTGATCTCGCTCTGTCAAATAAATAAATAAAATCTTAAAAAAAAAAATTGAAATGAGCTAAAACTTCTTTAAGTTCCCCACAGCTTACTTGAGATTACCAGAAGTTCATTAAAAAATTATTTCTAGGAGCACCTGCATGGCTCAGTGGGTTAAGCCTCTGCCTTTGGCTCAGGTCATGATCTCAGGGTCCTGGGATCAAGCCCCTCATCGGGTTCCCAGCTCAGCAGGGAGCCTGCTTCTCCCCCCACCCCTTGCCTGCCTCTCTGCTTACTTACGATCTCTCTCTCTGTCAGATAAATAAATAAAATATTAAAAAAATATTTCTATATGAATTGCAAGATCATGGACTCAGAACATTATGGATGGCAGCTGTTACCTGGGTGTGGTATGCCAGACAGCACATCCCTATAGCGGAGCAGTACTGAGGATGTGATAATGGGGAGCTCCTTCATCTGACCCCATTTGTATAAACTTGAGGCCCAACTACTTCTGCTTTTCCCAGTTTCCCCAGCTGTGAAAGTGTGGAGAACATAAACGTAATAAGGATTCTCATTATAAACTCGGCACCATGATTCCATGGAAGAAGACGGGAGCCAGGCATCAGAAGACTTAAATCCTTGTTCTTTTGACCAAAACTTAACTTCCCCAATACCAAGTTTCATTAACTGTGAAATAGGAGGATTGTGTGCTCACCTGTATATGTATTCTGTAACTACAGATACACAGTGGTGAATTGGACATGATTCCTGCCCCTTTTATGACTTACAGCCTAATGGCAGGAGGGGCATGCCAACAACCAGTGTTGTCTTGGTGTAAACAGCTTCTTAGAAGCAGACAGTAAAAATAGTGATGATACCTGGAGGGAGTGGTTGACTCTACCTGGTAGATGAGAAAATGCTTGAGAGCAGGGTTCCAAGTAGTCATAATTGCCTTGCCTTCCTTTCAGTGTCCTTGTAAGTCTCAAATGTATGTGAAAGAGCAGTGTGGTCCACTTATTATTATTATTATCATTATCATTATTTCCATAAGTCAGAGCTATTATGCTTCCAGGCATACAATTAAAAATAAGCTCCTTACTCTTGGCTAGCCTTTTATAGGAATGTTGGCCTTTCCCTTATGTGTTAAAAAGGGGTCAGACTCTACATCCGTAAAGTAAGCGAATGTGGAATCTGACTTTATTAGCCATGCTGGGGTTCCTCTTTATTTTTCTGAAGTCTTGAGGCTCTTCTGGAATTTTTTCTTATTCCATGAGTTACTATCCATTCTTATGTGCCCATTTTAATTATTGATGTATTCAACAAATATTTTAGTGAATGCTTTTTTTATGTACTGAAGGAATATAAACACAGCTAAATAATACAAATCTGAAAGACATGGCCACATATTACTTCATGGTAAGTGCCATGATGAGTGCAGTGAATTGAGAAGGGAGAAAGATGAGTGGCTTGAGGTGGTTGGAAAAGGGTGTGTGGAGGGAACCACCCATGCTTGTGTAATGTTTACTTAGGCATAGATATGGCCTTATCTCTGTGAAGACTTGGGAATATAAACAAGCGTGGTATCCTCCTGGTCAGTGAAGAGTCCATTTCACTTAGATTATATATAGGAGAGATAGATTTAAGATTACATATAGGAGAGAGAGATTTAAGCAGTGAGAGAGAAAACTCAAATAACACAATATTTTGTGCATAATATTGGCTCAGATACCAGCTGATGAGTATTTTTACCTGTGTTTTATTTCCCTGAGAACACAGAATTTACCTCTTCTTTATCTTCATAGCTACCAGAGTGCCTTACATGTAGGAGCTATTCAGTAAATAAATTTTAAATAAATTGTGCTGAATTGTTTTGAAAGGAGCTAAAGATATCATGGAGTTTGAAGAAAAATAAGAATTTTATGAAGGCTTTACCCCTGAAGGAGAGAATGATGGATGGCATCAGGAAGGATTTACACTCAGCTCAAAAAACTTCGGTTGATTGGATATACATTAAGCACCTCCTTGGTTCCAGAAGTCACCACGATAAGCACAGCATGATCATATTCATAGATTTTTATCGAGATAAAATGGATGCCAACTTGGATGTGTTAGGCACTCTGGTGTGTGGGAATGTCCTTATATAGGGCGATGCCATGTGTATTTATGTTGACACGTGTCTTTGATGCTTATGCTTCCTCATTTCATTGTTTTGCAGCTCTACAGCTCCATGGACTTTGGAAGACGATGGCAACTCATGCATGAACGTATCACACCCAACAGGTTTTACTGGTAAGCCCCATCCGCAGACCTGCTACCCTCTTGGATAAAAGAATTATTGGAAAGCATAGCACTTGGGATAATACTCAACACCTTCAGCACTTGAAGACACATGTGTTCTAGTGCTTTGCTATTGGTGTGGTTCACAGGACCAGAAGCATCAGCATCACCTGGGAACTTGTTAGAAATGCAGAGTCTCGGGCAAGACGTCCTCCGCAGGAGTCTGCATGTAACACGGTCCCTAGTGATTCAGTGTGTACGTTCAAGTTTGAGAAGCAGTGGGGTGCTCCAGGAGAAGGTCTCTTGGCTGGTGCTGTTTGCTGGGTGCTAATCTCCCTTTGTTGGGGCAAAGTATATATTTTGTGTAGCTATTCTAAAGCAGTATATCCTAAAATGTACTCTTAAGAACACTAGTTCCACAAAATGCTTTACCTCTCTGACGTGTTTCTATTGTCAAGCAATTTTAAGTAATGATTATTTAACTCTGCCTTACTCGAGATGCAGGATTCACTTTAGGATATTTAAGACTCTGGAGAAACCCAGAGACTGAAGAGGCCTCCCAAACTTATTTCACTAAAGAATCCTTTTCCCATGTCACACATATAAATGCTTCAGAACAGCTTCTGTGGAGCACATTCTGAAAAGCCTTTTTTAAGAGTGAGTATACATGTTCCAAATGGAAACTTAGCCCTCCCCCTATCAGAAAGTCTTTTTTTATTAATTGGTGTTCCTTTGTACGTGAGTGCTATTTTTACCTGGGTTATAGCAAGCTGAACATGGTTTGGTGTAATTTCATATTTTATTCTTTCCTACTGCAACATGAAAAACTTCTTACTTGCATCCTGCTTTCATCAGCAGAGGTATGGCCCAAGGAATAGAGATTAGGAAGCATGCACCCAAGTGTTTAATGTGCTCCATTATATGCTTAATTAAAACAAAACCAAAATTAATCTTTGGAAGTAGTCCCTATTTCCTACCTCTTTTTAAGCACCTTAGTTCAGTGCCTTCAAAAAGTCATGAGATGGCCATTTTTGTCTTCTATAAGGTAGGGGTGAGGTGTGTGTGTGTGTAGTGGGGGGTGGTGATGAGTACTTTGTGTATATATATATATATTTTTTTTTTTCACACCAACATCTTTGAAAGCAGTGTCGCCACCCAGTCCCCATCTGTATGCACAAAATTATGACCAGAATCCAGAAAAATAATTGCAGAAGCATCCTGTAAAAATGCACTGTGTACCAACCTACTGATTGCACATGGTGAGTGGGGGGTAGTGCTGTTGACTCAAAACCTGGCCTATTCCCACTTATTTTGTCCTTTTCAGACCAACTATTATTTGGTCTGTACTGTTAATTACACTTATTACTGGATCTGTATTTAGAACTATTAAGATTTTTAATAGACTAAGGCAGAAAAAGGAAATTTGTTTCTCTGATACTCCAGCTCTGTGACTACAGCCTTTTGCTCAGCCAAGAGAGACCAGTTTCTTGGTGTGCCATTACTCACAGGTCCCTCAAAAAGGAAAAAAAAAAATAAGCCCTCTGCTATTTCTGGAACAAAGTCTTGAGGTGGCGAGGCTGTTGGCTGACTAGGAAGTCAAGTTGATGGAAAAGGAAAGTACAATAGACTAGATAAGCCTTGTCATCGTTTCTGAGGGAAATTAAATTAAGTGGATGAGGGGCAGCATTTTCCCATGTTTTGTAAAGAGCAAGAAGAGAAGTTTCCAGCTGTGGTCTGCCCTCCCCCTTCCTTTGTGTAGCAGAAAGAATAAATCCCCAGGTCCTGATAATTGTGTTTCATCTCTCCTGCACTCTGTGATTCTTTCATATATGCCCCCATGGGGAAATATAAAAGTTAGTGCCCTTGCTGGCTAGCCAAGTGGTAGTTGGCAATTCCATCTTCATAATTATCACTTCTTCGTTTCTGATGTATAATTGCCGTGATTATTCTTCTAGGCATCATAGGAGTTGCAGTGGAAGAGCTCACTTTACACTGACATTTTTTTTCCCCTAATGACAAAATCCATGTCTGTCTAAAGCTCTAATCCATTTGTGTTGAAGAGACATGGCCTGTATGGGTTAGGAGTCGAAAAATTTACTCGGAACCTCCTTGAGAAAAGACAAAGTGTGCATCTGTCTGGTGTAGAGCCTTGCTCTGGCTGACACGAGGACTCTCAGAGTTGTGGTTCCCTCATCTGTAAAATGGGAACAAGATTCTTCTTGTCAATTTCGTAAGATTCTATAAAGGACCAGGTATGATCAGTTGGGCACTTGGCAATTTCATCTCTTCAATTTCATATCAGATTTATCAGTTGTACATTATAAGTCATTAAGAATTATGCTTATTAGCATTTCTAAAGACCATGAAACCTAAGTGATTTGTCGTTGTTCTGGGACACAAATTTGTATCCCATGCGAAATTAGATTTGGATAACTGTAGACATCTGATTACAATTGATTGGATCTGATTTATTAGGAAAGACCCACTTCTTAGCCAAACCTCTACTGCCTCCTACTCTTTATTGAGTCATAATTCTTGTGAACTGGTATAGCCAAAACAAATCAACAACAAAAAGCCCTAAAACTATTTTTCTTGGAGAGAGGGTGCAGTGAAGTGGTGTTGGGGACAGTGTGGACACACGGGAGGGAATGCAGTCATGCTAAAAACAAGACATTGAGGTGAGGATAGTTGATAATATTTTAATCTTGTATGTAGACAAAGAGCGTGAATGTGCAATTCACAAGTAATATCACCCATATATTGTTATCTATAATTTGGAGATTTGCAATTGTCTAGGGATAGATCCTTCGTGAATGTAAACTTTCTTCCTCATGCTGCCTTCAGTTGATGGAAAATAGCCCCTGAAGGGGATTTGTGAGAAAAGCACTCTGATCCCGAAGTGGTTTTTGCCAAGGGTGCAGGGGAAAGAACCGACCACACAAGCTCATATTTGCTGTAATGGCTGTGAACGTGTGTTGGGAATAGAAAGGGGCAGCTGTTATTTACCATTTCCTCCTTAGAGCCCCACAGTGCCTTTGAGTTAGGCAGGACTTGGGGCATAATATTCATTAGCAGCAATAATAAAAGCTTCATCTGGAGGTAAAATTTTTTATGTGAATTCCAGATGCTCTAACCCCACCAAGAGGGGTCACTAGGAATCTTATATTATGGACTGATTCAGCTATCCAGTGCATGCCCAAATAGTACTAACTGACATGAAAACTCCTTTATATGTGACCCTTTCACTCATTGATACCTGGTTAACAAGCAGATCACCAGGCCTATCCCATGTTACCATTTATCACCCCAGCTGCTTTAGCAATAATAATTTGCAAGCAGAGCACAAAAGTGGAATGTGTTTCTTAACATAATCCCTTTATTGTATGCTTGGGCAAAGCTATCATGAGGAGAAAGTATGTGTTTTCTTTTCTTTCTTTTTTTTTTTTTAAATATCCTACTGAGCTGCAAATGAATAGTATTTCCACTCCTCCACTGGGAGGTATTTAAGAGGCAGGAGCATTCTGCAGTGGGAAGATTGTTTTCTTTGCACATCCAATGTGAATACTTGTTGTGCTTCACAGCTTTGCCTTCAGGGCCCCTCAGCCTCCCTAGGTGTTCAGCTTCTTCTGGTGTAACTTGGCTGGCCTCTACATGCATCTGGTCTGATGGCATTTGCTTGTATAGCATTGTGAAAGAGAGAAGGAATAGCTACAATATCTCTTCCTTATTAACTTCCCCCTCATTATGCTGGCTTCTGAAAGATCAGGGTCTTTTTTGGTCTTATTTCTTGCCATCACTGCAGGGGAGTGTGTTGATAAAGTAATACACCCTAAGGTATCAGGGACTTTAAACTCTTAATCCTTTTCTGGGATGTTTGGGTTGCAACAATAATTGGTCTTGAGAGTAAGAAACCCTATAAGAAGTCAATATGTGTAGTACTGGTTTAATTTATTTTATTTTATTATGATTTTTATTTAAATTCGATTAGCCAACATATTAGTTTTTGATGTTATGTTCATTGATTCATTAGTTGTGTAACACCCAATGCTTATCACATCATGTGCCCTCCTTAATACCATCACCCACTTACCCAATCCCCCCACCCACCTTCCCTTCTGCAACCCTCAGTTTGCTTCCCAGAGTCAAAAGTCTCTCATGGTTTTTCTCCCTCTCTGATTTCTTCCCATTCTGTTTTCCTTTCCTTCCCCCATGATCCTCTGCACTATTTCTTATATTCCACATTTGAATGAAACCATATGTTAATTGTCTTTCTCTGATTGACTTATTTCACTCAGCATAATATGCTTCAGTTGCATCCACAGCAATTTTAAACGGTAGTATTTACAATAAATGGCTGTGTAATATTCCATTGTATATATGAACCACATCTTCTTTATCCATTCATCCGTTGAAGGACATCTCAGCTCATTCCACAGTTTGGCTCTTGTGGACATTGTTGCTATGAACATTGGGGTGCAGGTACCCCTTCTTTTCAGTAATCTGTATCTTTGGGGAAAATACCCAGTAGTACAATTGCTGCATCATAAGTAGCTCTATTTTGAACTTCTTGAGGAACCTCCATGCTGTTTTCCAGAGGGCTGCACCAGCTTGCATTTCTACCAGCAGTGTAAGAGTAATACTGGTTTTAGATCAGCTCACATTAGAGGAGCAGGAAGAAGGCCTCTTGAGGACTGCTCATTTGAGCTACTATGATGCCTAGTTGCAGGCTGATTAGTGGCTGGTGTATAGGGACAGTCAGGGTGGGCTCTATGTCTCTCCTGTACTTTGATTAAGGTCAGTGTACTCACTAGATTTCTAGCGGTGGTTTGTGCCAGCAGCTTTTCTCTTTTGGTTTTCAGAAAGGCAATGGGAGAGGGTAGGAAAAATGGAAAAATACACAGGAGTTGCTGAGAAAATGCCTTTTAAAGGAGAAAGGGATGGCATGGAAAAAGATAACAGATTAAAAGTCTTCTCATTACAATCTTGCCTTTTCAAGCCTCTGTTCTTCTTGT